GGTTGTGTCATCTGCATAACGCAGATTGTTGATAGATCTTCCACCAATCCTAACACCACGCGTCTCCTCATAGAGCCCAGCCTCTCTGATAATCTGCTCTGCATTTGTTAGGAGGGGAAATTGACAGCATTTGTGGGTCGACATGAGTAAGAGAACTGAATGAAGTTGTATGGTCTTGAAGCAAGGAACTTAACTGTTTATCTAGCTTCTTGTCTGCTGTCCTCTTAGGAGGTTGGATCTCAAGCTTGGTGACCATTATACTTGATAGAAGACACTGAAGGTATTTCGTGTTAGCAGCCTAGGTAGGGAGGCTGATCTTGATCTCTGTCCTCGGAAGGAATGTGTGAATGTTTGTGCAAAGTCGCACCATGAGCACAGCCACTATTTTGATGAAGTAAAGTCATTCATCATAAGACACTTTTTCCAAAGTACTCTGAATGATTTTTATTGATTTACTAAATGGCTTAATAATTTCCTGCAGGAGGAACAGTTGAAATCTCATGAAAGCAAGCTTAAGCAGATCACCACGGAGCTGGCTGAGCATCGCTCATATCCACCTGACAAGAAAGTTAAAGCCAAGGAGGTCGATGAATACAAACTAAAAGACCATTATCTGGAGTTTGAGGTACGTTGTCCTAAAATGTAAGCTATGATTTGCTGAGAAGGTAATTTCTGTTTTCTGTTCCTTCATTCATTTATCCATTTATCCATTCATCCATCCATTCATTCATTAATTCTGGGTAGCTTGTCTTGGCCGTGAGTCTAACTAGAGAGTCTTCTAATGTAAAAACTAGGGTGTGGTGGCCCATCATGTTCATGGTTCCATGAAGCATCAACAAGTACTTCTCATTTTATAGAAGTCATAGCCAGTATTCTACCTGGGAGGAAGAATATACTTGCTAGGGTTTTGGAGGCTGGGTTAGTACAAAATGTATGGGACTGCTGTCCAAAATGTTGCCGGTTCAAATACACCTGCCAGTAGACAAATTCTGAACAGTTTCCTCCCATGAAGAGTCAGAGCCTTGGAAACCTGAGGAGGGATCATGCCGAGTCAGAATCAGCTTGAAGGCAGTGATTTTTCAATTGTTTCTATGTGTCATTTTGTTTTGAGAGGAACATGCCAGAGCGGGTATCTGCTTTCAATGCCATATGTCCCCCTCCAGGAGGAAATTGGCTACAGGGTGTGGTGAAGCATCCATTGTTTTTCAGTTTTAAAAAAAAATTATTAGCTTAACTACCAACATTTTTTAATAATGACAAAATTTGCAAACTTGGAAGGCTATTAGTGACAGTATCTCATAACCACTATTTGGAATTGGATAGACAGCTTTATTGCTAGCCTTCCTTTTATTGAAAACAATTCATGCATTGGTTCTACTTAAAATTATGATTATTGCTTTATCTGGGAATGAGTTCCTACTACAATTAAGTATTAAAAATATCTTCCATCATAATTTGAATGTGATCTGCATCAGTGAGTGAAGAACTTGAATCCTCAAATAGTTGGTGTTTAAAAAATTCTCATTTAGTATTTTGGCTTTTTATATTTCTATACTATATGCTATATTGGGTTTTTCCCCCTTCACAAGCAGGTGTCAGTTGGCTGGACTTTTGCCCATTTTAGCCAATGAGGCTCCAAGGGAAGCGGGAATACTAAGTCTATCATAGTCAACGGCATTTGTTGGGTGTGTCTTTATTAGGATGAACATCTTTTAAGTGATACGACAGTCATTTGTCTATTTCCTGTACTGAACAACTTGGAGTTCCTGTTATGCTGAACACTGTGCTATAGGTGTGTCAAATACCATACTGGTTACCTTACCCATCATGGACAGTATTTGGAAGAGCTTCCAAATTGATTCAGGTTTGGAAGCAGGGTGGCATCCACTTCCTAAACCAGGTGCCTCTGGAAACTCTGTAAACAAAGAAATAATGTTAATTATAAAACAGAAGTCAGGTCTTTTGTTCATAGGGTCTCTATGAGTCGTATTCGATCTGATGGCACTTAATCACTGCTAAGTGAGACTAGTGTTGTTATATTTTAGAGGAACATTCTCCTACTTTGTACATCACTCTTTGTCAATTTTCTCTACTGAGTTAATCTGGGTTTGCTGTGATTCTGAATCTTTTTCCATTGGGGTGTGAAATGCCACAATATTTTCCCAATGTGGACAGTGTTTGGTGGGGCTCCAGTTATAAAACAGATGTGGAAGCAGGAGTGGCATCCACTTCTAAACCACATGCCTATGGAAACTCTGTGAACTTGGAGAAACCACAGTAGGTTCTAGAAAGGCATTAGGTCTTTTGTTCATGGAGTCACTATGAGTTATGCCCGAGTTAACAGCAATCAACAACAACAATACATATTCTGGGAACTCTAGTGCCCCAAAGCTCCACCAAAGTAAGGTTGAGTATCTCCTCCCTATGCAGTGTACAGGCTTGGAAACCAGTTGGAAGGTCAGCTGTGAGTCACATCCTATTCCACCGCAGTCACTTTGACTTCTTGATTTTTTTTTTTACATGATGTTGAGAATGGCAGTCCCCAAAGGCCAACCTTTATCATAATCATGAACTAGAACCTTTTCTGGAGGATGCAGCCTTGGGAAAGATTCTAAAGATTTTGAGCCCCATGCATTTATAGTTGTTGATGTAATTACTATTACTGATGTTACAGTCATTGGATATGTTGCCTTCTTGAAAGGTATAGCGGCTTGATGAAAGAAATGATAACAAAGTCAGCTTCTTTGAACAATTCTGCCAGATTATTTACTTGCTCTTCCACTTTCTCCTTTGATTTCTAAAATTTCTGGTGGTTTTTCCACTTACCTACATTTTCTACATGGGGGTGGCAGGGTAGGAGCAGGACGAGAATGACTTTGCCTGTATTTGGCTCCAGGATACTTCAGATAGCTTTCAATAAAGTCAGGAACTGATCACTGTAGATCGTCAAATTCAGCCAGCTGACAGCATCATATGGGAGCCCTGTATTCTGCCATTCCATCAGACCCACCACTATATTTCTTTTTCTGAAGCTGCCATGTTATCATTTAATATGGCTCAGTGGCATAAATCTCTTCAAAATTGAAAGCTCCTCAATTTTGTGACTTCTCCCTCTCTAGCACCTAAATAAAAAACCCTATGGATTTTCCAGTCTGGATTAACTTTAAGCAGCCTTAGAAATTGATTGGATGGAAACACAAACATTGATCTTCTTCCTAACATGCCACTGATAGATGTTCTTGACATAAACAGGATACAACAGATGACACAAAAGGGTGATATAATTGGATAAGTAGCCAGAACAATTTCTCAATACTGTTTGTTGTTTGGAAAGATCTTTCTCTCTTCAAGATAACTGTGATCAAAGACAGCCTCAGTGATTCACATGATTTCTATCCTCCCTGTCGCCCGCAGCCTTCTCCAGCCTACATGAACTGCTCATCATGTTCAGGCACAGTGGACCGCATAGTGTCCACATCCTCCATGTCAACAACAAGGATGAGTCAGTTCAGGCACAGCCAGCTATGGACAGTCTCACTGGGGGACTTGACTTCCCGTTCACATCATCCAGGGCAAGGCGGAAGGGCCACAGTTGGCTCTCTGAATGAGGGTTCAAGCCCTCTCATTGAACTTGTCAATTAGACCTCCAAGCAGTAACTTATTTCCTACATATACTTGCTCTTAGGTGACAGTGACATAGTTCTACTAGTCACTATCCATGAGAAAGGTATTGATAAACTGTAGCATATCCATGTACTGTAACAAATGTATCTGCTTAAAAGAATGGACTCAAACTCATTGTCATCAAGTCAAAGCCAACTCACACTGGGTTTGGGAGGCTGCAGGTCACCCTAGAGGAAATGATCCATCTTTCTCCTTCAGAGCCACTGGTAGATTCAGACCACCAGAGAGAGAAAATCTTGAGATTAGCAGCACAGCTCCCTACAGACTACACCACCACCGTTGTTATTGTTGATTGCTGTCAAATCAAGCAAGACTCATAGCAACCCTATTAAAAAAAAGCCTGAAGCCTTTCTATAACTATCATCATTTATCCAAGTTCATAGAGTTCCAGAGCCATGTGGTGTAGGAAGTGGATGCCACTCCTGCTTCCAAACCTGAATCAATCTGGGAGCTCCACCAAACATGCCCATGATGGGTAACCATTATGGTGTCTGGCACACCTGTGGCACAGTTGTTCTATTATGTCATATGAGCATTATGGTAGATGGAGTAAAAATTGAAATTGTCAGCTAATCCATATTATTTGGATCCATAATGAAACGCCTTTGGTATCAGCAATTAGGAGATCAGGAGACATATTGCACTGAGGAAGCCTGCAGTCAGGGAACTCTTCAAATTCTTGAGGAGCAAATGATGTCAGTTTGAAGACAAAGATGTGCCTGATTCAGGTCGTGGTATTTTCAATCACTTGCCATGCGTATGAGAGAAGGGCAGTGAATATGGATGACAGAAGAACTAATGCCTTTGAACTCTGATGTTGGAAAAAATACTGAATATTCCATGGGCTAAAAAACAAAAACAAAACAAAAGAAGCAGATATGGCTTGGAGAAGGATCAGCCAAGATTGCACCTTAGAGGCAAAGATGACAAAGTTCCCCTTCACGTACTTTGGGCATGTTATACACCACCATAACTGCCTTCAAAGAAGGAAGAGGTTCTGGCCTCTCCTCCATATTTCCTTTAAAGGAGTGAGGTCCATTCCTTTGTGATGTAACTTTCTAATAAATGAATCTTTACTTTTTACCGTAAAAGAAAAAAAGAAGTCTGTATGTTTCTTCTCGGCATTTAAAAGTAGAAAATGTAAAAACAAGTTGGAATTGCCTGTAGTGTAGCAGTCCCTATGTCTTGCAAATAGTGTCAAGAAGCTGCACTGCAGTCGTGTAGGCACGCAGTTCAAGACCACCAGATGCTTCAGGGGAAAAGGATGGGCAGCCCCCTCCCATGCAATTAACCGTGTCTTAAAACCCACTGGAGGGTCAGCTATGGGTTTGTTTTGACTCGACAGTACACCACCACCATCACCACCACCACCACCACCACCACCACCATCACCACCACCACCACCACAACTACTACTATTTCTTCTTGAAAGGTTGGTTGGTGATTCATATCTACCTAGAGGTGCCTCAGAAGATGGGCCTGGTGTGCTGCTTCCAAAAGGCAACAGCCTTGAAAACTCAACAGAGCAGTTCCATTCTGCACACAGAAGGACACTGTGGGTCAGTCAGAGTTGACTTGATCACAACTAAGGATAACAAATGTTACCTCTGCCTCCATCTTCTCCCTAATTGACACTGTTGTGCAGGATCCCCTGACTCTTTCCCGTTGAAGCATCAATTCATGACATATGAAATCTTCACCTCCCACCCACCCCCTTTTTTTTAAAGTAAGCAGAATGTCATGTAAGGTTAAAAGAAGTATTTGTTGGGTTTTCCACATAATTTCTTTTTCTGGTGAATATATGTAATCTGTACTTTGCTGTTCTTTTATTTGTAGCTCTACTCCCTTGTGGGGTGGTTGGTTTTTTGTTTGTTTGATTTTTTTTTTTTTTTAAGCAGACGTGGTATCTGCTTCCTAAATAAAATTGCTCAAGGAACTCTA